GTCATTGGCTCTCCTCCTTAATAGAAACATCTAGGATTTGCCTTCGTTAACAGAGGTGCTATACAGTATATTGCCATTAATAACAAGTTCTCATAATCTAGGAAGCTCCGATGAGGGCAGTATAATAGAGGCAGTAGAGTATATTGACCCTAATGCCCACCCATACAAAAAAAATCTATTTATCAATCAGCAGAGTATTTTTAGAGCTTCTCATTGGAACTAAAAACTAATACAAAATTACACATTAATTTTTTAACTTTTGTTTCCCCTTAAGCTACCTGTGGGTACAATCAATATGCGTGAAACCCAAGTTGAAGAAGTTGATTGCTCGATGGATTCGGATGATGAAAGCAGAATCCCAGTTGAAAAAGAAGACGAGCCAAAACATGTGATTGTGATTCATGTGAACCATCAGATACAAGGCCCAACTTATTTGCTAATGAACTCCAAAGAAGAAAAGGTTTGCTGTCATTTGTATTTAAGTATTTTGTGTTTTTTCCAATGCTTGTGGGTGGGCCCTTCATCCAAAAATATTGATAATCCACTGTAGTAAAAAAATGATTAAATCTTTTTATTTTCTCATCCAATAATGCATGACTAACAACTCCTACAGGATGGAATACTCTGTCAAGTTTTATTTGAGAAATACTTGCGACTTGCCAATATATGGGTGTGATATGATATCATCATACCCATATATGGACAAATCATATAATATTTGTCACAGAAAATTATACATTGTGACAGAGCATTAGTGAGTGGAGTTATTTTTAGTTGAAGGAATTTAAACCCGGAAAGCAAACATATATTTATTGTCCACTATTCTACAGAGTGATCAAAATATTAATATATTCTTTCTAAATGTCATCAGGGGTGTAGGCTGGATTCATCTTGGGAGGAGGATGGGAAAATTCATAATGCGGAGCTAAATTCCTATTCCAATGAAAATTTAATGGCCATCTTTAGTATTTAAAGTAACTGTAGTGGAACTAATTTGCTGTCAAAGGTGGGTGCCTCCGCCCCCTCCCCCTACCAGTGTTGCAGTTTTCTGGGGGCTTTGTGGCTAGATGTGGTTCAGTATCAAATAATACCAATTTTTTAAATTAAAAAAATCTCACCATAAGTTTGAAAGGATTTCCAAGGGTAAATGGGCACACAGTATGGCTCCACCAATTTAGTCATGATATAAGATCTAATATAAGGGATATAAGATCTAATATAAGGGACGGATCTAGAAGTCTATTTTTGGGGGGAGGGGTGGGGAGGTACCAGAAATTTTGGATGATTCAATACATACTCAGTCCCACCATAAGACTAGAGTATGTTCCTCACACAAAGTAGATGTGATTGATAAACTAATTTTTTCACATGTCTTTAAAAATGTTTTAATTTAGGCCAACTTAGTTGGCTATTATTTCACAGTCATAAATAAGTTATGAAAAATTAGGGGTGGGGGATAAAACCTCCACCCCACCCCCTTCCCCCTGTCTCTTATACAAATCTGTCACTGAATATTATTATTGGTTTTATTTTGCAGGACACTTGGCTTTACCATCTCACAGTAGCTTCTGGCTCGGGACTGGGAAATATTGGAACTGAATACGAACGACTTATTGCCAAGCTGATGGATGTAGAGGGCGACCCTTCCAGCACGCTGTGGCGTCATCCTCATTTGTGTCAAAGCAAGGACAGCATTGACAAGCCGCTAACCACACTGCCTTCAGAAGCCCTCAAGAAAGAGGCTGTTAAGTTGAACAAGGTAAAATCATTTCATGATTATAAATTCTTTTGTTTTATATCACCTTAGCTGGAATGGATACGATATGATATGGATCTATTGAAATTTTAAAGAAGGCTGTTTAGTGGGTGGATACTTTTTGGGGTGTTTTATTTTAAACCTTGTGGTTGTATTTTCTCCCATGAATATTTTTGGCTGGTCATGAGATACCCCAGATTTGAAGTGGTTTTTAGGACTATGTTTTACTTTTACTATCTTAATATAAGATAAGATGAAATATTAACTTTATTAATCCCATTGAAAAAGTGTTGCACTCATTACACACACAGTGGTGGATCCATGATTTTGAATTAGGGGGCTCAAGGGAGGGAATTTTACAGATGGGAAGTTTGGACCACTTCATCACAACCACGGTTGGTAAGAAATATTTATTGGGTGAGAAAAGCTATGATTTTAGCACCTTTAGATGGCCAGAAATGGCACTCTCAAACTAAAATTGAAATTGATTTTCTTATTTTCTCAATGTTTCTATAATTTTGAAAAATTTAGGGAGGTGGCTCTGTGGATCTGTCACTGTTTATTATGACACGGCATTAGTTTTCTATGTGCCCAATGTCTGAATCAGTGTGGAATTTTTAAGTAAATGTTCTTCTTTATTGTTTCTTCTTGTTAGGCTTGCAACTTGTTTATCAACGTCATGATGGACTCCCCAGCAATTGACTACCATGTTAACCTAGCCCAAAGTGCTTTGCAGACCTGCGTCACACACCCAGAGCTTCAGAATGAAATGTATTGCCAGCTGATCAAACAGACTACTCCTAAGCCTCCAATTACGGCCACCAGTCTCCAGGTACGTACACTCGGAAGTGCACACGGTCTCCTCAATTTGAACACTTAATGAAGATGTAAGGATCATAGAAAGCGCAAGATACTAAAAGAACTCAATTTTGTATTATGGGTATTACGAAGCTTTGTGTAAGCAATCGCATTTTCTTTGACAAAAAAATGTGGTATGTGCCTATATTTGGTCATGATATGATGTCATCATGACCATATTTAGGCATGTTACAAGTTTTCTCAAATGAAATTTGATAGCCTGGACAGGGCATTGTTGACAGGGCATTGTTGTGATACCTGTTTAATAATGTCACTATTGTGTCTGACCAAGGATTCATTATTCAGAATATTAAATCCTTGGTTTGCCTACTATTTGTATTTATGCAGACAAAAAACTTGTTGAAGGCTCTGCTGATAATAGAAGTAATAATATATTGTTGAAAATGATTCTCTTATTCTTCTCTTCATATCCACAGGACTTCAACCCTAAACGTTTTGTTTACATTTGTGCATCATTTTATCAATTTAAATATTTGCCTGAAAATTAAGGATATGCAGTCTCATATTATTTTAGTTACTACTGCACAACATTCTATTCTAATTCATTAATATTCATCGTTATTCACCCAGCATGCCTGTTCTAACTCTACACGAATGCCTTCTCTCTTTCTATTCCAGAACTTACTCTGTGGCACGCATAATTGGTTTGCCTCCTGCGAAGGGGCAGGGCATACCTCTATCTCATCTTCCATGGTTGATCTCACACAAGAGACTCAAAACAGTACTCCCACTTTTGCATTCCTGCAGGCGTGGCAGCTTCTGGCAATGTGCACAACGCTGTTCCTGCCGCGGCAGAAGTTTATGTGGCTACTCAAGATACATTTGCAAAACCATTTCAATTCTCAGTAAGTTGGGGGGTTTTGTTTATTCAAGATGCATTTGCAAAAATATTTTAATTTACAGTAAGTTGAGGGGTTTGGTTTATTCAAGATGCATTTGCATAAGCATTTCAATTCACAGTAATTTAAAGGGGTGTTTGGTTTATTCAAGATGCATTTAAAAAAACAATTTCAGTTCACAGTAAGTTGAGGGGTTTGGTTTATTCAAGATGTATTTTCAAAAACATTTCAATTCACAGTAAGTTGAGGAGGTTTGTTTATTTAAAGATGCATTTGCAAAAACATTTTAATTCACAGTATAAGTTAAGGGGTGTTTGGTTCATTCAAGGTGCATTTGTAAAAAAATTTCAATTCACAGTATGTTGGGGTTTCATTTATTAAAGGTGTATTTGCAAAAACTTTAAAATTCACATTAAGTTGAGGGGTTTGGTTATAATCAAAATTCTTTAAAAAAAAAATAAAATAAAAACAAGTCAAGTGGAAGAGTTTAGTTTTTCAGATTTCTTTTCAAATTTTTAAAAAAATATTTTTTATATGTAACTCTGTTTATTTCTTATATTTACATAAGTTGTTATTGTTTCAATTGTCTAATTGGCAAATTTTGTTGCTGTAGACTTTTGAGCAAATAAAATACAATAAATTTAACAGTATGTTGATGTGTTAGTTATTCAAGATGAATTTACAGAACCATATCAATTCACAGTGTTAAAAGTGATAATAAATATTTGAACAATGGGATTCAAACTCAAGACTTTCTGATTAACATTTGGATATTCTACCAACTGAGCTATGAGGCACAGAAAGGTTTGGTTATTCGGGGTGCATTTAATATGTGTGCAACACATTATGGTAATACCAATGTGTGATAATGTTGCTGAAACATTGGTAGTTATCAAGTATTAATAAGTGACATTTAACTCTAATTTCAGAACTGAAGTTGGGAAATATGCAATATTCTGCCAGAGAACTTTGGAACGAACTTTGAAGAATGGTGTGCGTGAAGCACGTCCATCAAGAACAGAAGTGCTGTCAATCATACTACGGAATCCTTTCTACCATTCTCATCCAATCAGTGTTCCTGTACATTTTATGAATGGTTTATATCAGGTAATTTATTTACAATACACAAGCCTGTAGGCAGGATTTTTAAAAGGGGTTCTAATTTTTCACAAAAGGGCACTTTGAATCCACACTCACCTCTGGCCTACCATATTTATAATTTTAAAGATATAACACCTCAGATGTCCTGAAATTGCAATAAAAATGCCAAATTTCAAATACTTAGAATTAATTTCAAAAACATACATGCAAATTGTACTTTTTAGTAATAATTTCAAATTGCATTTCTTAAAAAGTGGGGTTCTTTCAAACCTCTTGAATCCCCCTGGATGTGGGCTTGATACAGAACCTGTACTTTAGGCCAGCTACAAAAAGAAATCTCACAGAAAATAATGGGTCTTCCACCATGGATTTATGGTATTGTTTATTTAAAAATTGTGGTATGTGACATTCTCAATTGAAAATATAAAAGTGTGTAAATACCAAGTACTTATTTTCTATAGGTGGTGAGTTTTGATGGGTCCACGACTGTACGAGAGCTTATAACCACTCTGAACCAGCAAATAGGAATGCGCGACACAGAGCAGTCAGGCTTTGCTTTGTTTACTGATGATCCATCAGGAAGAGATGCGGAGCATTGTCTACAAGGGAGTGTTAAGGTAACGTTCAAGTAATACCATAGTATTTGTATGTTCTTTATCCTTAGAATATAACATATGTGGACTGTTAAAATTTTCAGTTTATTAAAAAAAATACATTATCTGTTATCCCATGTTATTTTATGATGAATGAACTGAAACTGTCTCAGTAAGGAACCAGTTAAAAATTAAATTGCTCTTTAACGACTCAAATCAAAACAGTTAATTTTTTTACTGATTTTCAAACATTTTACTACAAAATACTACATAAATAAATATATAATTATAAAAACAAATGATTACAAAGACAGATTTTTGGATCACAATGGAAATAAGTTTGCCGTTTTGGTACTTTATTGTGTTTTATCCATGAATATTATTTTGTATTCAGAATAAAGAAATAAATGAAATTTAAAAAAAATGTGTTTATTTTAGTAAACCCTGAATATAAGTTAAGCAGGAAAGGTGACCCCTCCATAAATCTAAAAAAAATCACATGTAATTGTATGTACTTAGAATTGCAAGCTTTTTATTTTTATTATTAACATATATAGTGTTAAATTTGTTTCATTATGTCCCCTTTTGTACTTCCTATCTTAAGACTTCCAAATTCTTGTTATATTTATTTTCAGGTTTGTGATGTGATATCAAAGTGGGAGCAGACATTAAAGGAGGCACAGAATGGTAAAATTGAAAGCACCAAAGTTGTTAAACTGACTTATAAAAACAGGTTAGTACTTTCCTATCTCCATTTGAAAATCAGCTGGGATTTATATTCTAACAAACTCCCTAAAATGAAAACTGCATTAGTATTATAATTAAACTTATCTTTAGAAAAATCCAAAAGATACAGATAGACAATTATTGATTAAAATAATGTGAAAAGCATTAAGATGAAAAGTGTCCTTTTTGTGCCAAGTGCATCTTAATTAAAAATCGGCTTGATTTTTTTTTCTATTGTTTTTTTTTCTGATTATGGGAGTTGTAATGCTACATGCAATTGTCCTGATTATCACAATTATTTCTCTCATGCTTTTGCCATTGTTTATTTCCATCAAGAATCAGGCACAGCCAATCACAACAGTTTTAAAATCTATAATGTGATTGTTAGGAAATATTTTTTTAATTTCATCCTTTTGAAAGTCACTAATGTTTTATTCTACTGAGTGCCAGGAAACACTACAGTATGACATCACTTCTCTTTCCATTGAAAACAATCATTCTATTTTATCACATCAGTAATATTTAGGCTACTTTGAATTGCATTATACTTTATGATGAATAGGTCTTTTTGAGAGTTGTGCTAAGTTATATGGGGATATATTATAGTGATAAAGATCTCTGATATCTGCTGATGGCATCTTCCTTTTCAGCTGTGGTCTACAAGTACATTGCCTTAATTGTTTGATACTGTATATCCTTGCCAACTGAAACTCTGAAATCCTGTCAAGAGTCCAATACAGCTCTGTATAAATTATCCTGTTTTCATTTTAAAAAATATCTGTCATTTGTACTTATATGGGCATGATGCCATAATGGTGATTTTTATCACACCCATATATGGGTATCATGATGTTGTTCCACACTCATATTTCACATAAATCTCAAAATTTCTAAAATGAAATGCTTTTCATTTAACCTGAAAAGTGCAAATATAACATAAATATTTCTGTGATCTACACTTAATCATGAGTAGTCTACTACTGTAATTTAAATCAGGTTGTGTTATGATAAAGCATTTTCTTTACCCTTTCAAATGCATTTTTTTTTTCCCCCAAAGGTTGTATTTCAGAAGAGAAGTGAAGAAAGAGACAGAACGAGAGCGTCTTCTTGTAACGTATCAGATTAACGATGATGTGATCCATGGTCGATTCCCATTAAATAAAGAACTAGCCTTAGAGTTGGCAGCGCTTATGATTCAGGTAGGAGTCAGTAAAATAAAAATTTATTTGAAATGTTCTATCATTCTCTTTTTTTTTATTCTGTTATGATATTGTACCCTCATATGTTTCAAATCTAAATTATTTTAATCATAGGCATATTTTGAAATTGTATATCTGAAGTACACATTGTATATTGAATTACTGTAAAAAATTGTAATTAAAAAAAATTAAATAACTATTGTTGAATTTATCTTTTTTGCAGATTATAGGCTGTTAGAGTCACATTTTAAAAATAAAGTTGAAGAAAAAAATAAATGTTTTATGTACTATGCACAATTATTACTATTATATTATTTTTATTTTTTGTTAAATGATTCAGATTGATAATGGTGACTGCAAACACTCGGCTGATGGAGCAGGCACCATGGCAGAAACATTGGACAAAGCAGTTGACAAATTCTACCCCAAAAGATACAAAACAAATGCTGAGGATGAAATGAGGTAAAAATTGTATGAAACATTATTACATTAAATTTTATTTTAAAATATTGTGTAAATTTTCGTAGTTACACTAATGTAGCACTTTGCACCAAAGTCTCAAAGTGCTCAAGGCATGGACAGTAACTTTCTTCTCCCCTATGGGCCCTTTTTGCTACACGGTAAACTGGTTCCAGCTGGGCTGTATAGACCAGTACACTTGGATAACCCCCTACTCTTCTCAAAAGATCTGCTGAGTTCTTTCGTGTGCACTTGCCTATGGTTTATAGTCCCTGTCCGAGAAGACTTGTTCCACCACCAGAACCATAGGCGAGCATGTCTCTCGAACCTGCGCTGATATTATTGTGAGGCTTCTAACTAAACCGCTCGGCCATTCAACTCAGCTAAGACTAACATATTTTAGTGAACTGTATAAAATATGTTTGGTAAAATCTGTAAAACCCTCCAAATTTCTGTGGCACCGTTGGAAATGTATGTTTTTGTTTTGTAATAACATTTGTGAAATAAAGTTAATTTTTAAACATTGTTATTTTAGAACATTAAAAATGAAGCTGTCAGACAAATGGACAGGACTACGGGGACGCACTCAGCAGGAGTGCATACGCATCTATCTCGGTGTGACCAGGAAGTGGCCGTTCTTGGGAGCTAAGTTATTTTCAGCTAAGGTGAGTTTATAGCATGGTAGAAAGTTGTTTTGAATATGCTAATCACTCAGTAAAAATAGAGGTCATTCATTTAAACAACAAAATAAAATACACTTTCTTATGACTAACTTTTTTTTCTGAAAAGAGCACACAATTAAATGATGTTTGTTGTCATTTTTACATTATTATTTTTTTAAAGAGTATTTGCATAAACAGTCCCCCTTTATTACATCACACTCAGAAATGTGTCTGTTACATTGCTGCAAATGTTTTTGATGGTAAATTTTTAAAATTTCAATGAAGAACACGCCTGCAATTTTAATTAATTGTGATATATATGAATGCATTCATAAATATTAGAAAATTACACCTGACAAAACCTTGGCTAATTATGATTCATATAACAATTAATGTATTCATATTTATTTATATAACAATTAATATATATTTATGGGCAATAATCCAAGTAATGATAATTATTATTATTAATTAAATGTTTCTTTGTTTTAAATGTTATTATTTTTTTCTTAATTTCAGACCAAATTTGGAAACTGTGGTGATATTTACATCGCTGTACAAGATGATAGTATTAGCCTTCTAGATTATTCCACCTTAGTAAGATATTTTATTATACTTCAATAAATCTTAATATCTTTTAAATATATATACATTTATCACATATTCTATACATTTTTATATTTATATTTATATTAATTTTTTTATTTATATTTATTTATTTATATATTTATTTTTTATTTTTATATTTGTATTTATATATATATATATATATATCTGTCTCTTATACACATCTAGATGTGTATAAGAGACAGTATATATATATATTAATTTCGAATGAACGACCCAGTGACCCATTTAGATGAGCATCTGTTTATTTGGTAGTGTTCACCAAACAATAATAATACCCATATTAATGCCAATAATTAAATTGATATTAGTATTGTTATTGTTTGTTATATCTAATATTACTTTAATATCATTGTTTTAAATAATTGTTATATCATTTTTTTTTTTCAGATTCTTGAGATAACTCTGCTTATAGCAAGCTACATTAACGCCATTGTTAAACAACAAAATCTGACATATGAGCCATCATCAGCGCAACAAGTCTCCCCTTCAAGCGTCATTGACAAGAAGGTTTGGGACTTCGAAAGCAGTCATCTACCAGAAATTGGAAAAAGACATAGTCGTCTGCTATAAACTACAGTGCCCCTATGTACATGAAAACCATTGTCCGCTAATAAATAACCGCTGTCTGGATTTAAATAATTGACATTTACTGCAAATACATAGTTGTCTGCTATGAAAAATGTCTTCGTTATTTGCTATAAATATTGTATTTTCTTCTGATAGATGGTCATGCAATACATTGTATAGTTGTAGATATAAGTTGTTATGTTTTATAATGTAAATAAAATCTTAAAAAAAACAAAACAAATATAGGCTCTATTTTAAAATAATAATGAATAAAGTACCATTAATCATGTATGAATGCAATGTAAGTGATTCAACTGCTGCTATAACACTAGTGCCATGAACACTTTGTGCAATTATGTAACAAAAATAGCATCCAAGAAAGCTGAAGCTTGACAAGGATCTGTCTCAGCTTGAGGAGTATTGATTATGGTAAAAAAAAAATGGCAGTTTTCATTAGGAATTGAACCTAGGATCTTAAGATTGTAAAGAGGGTGCATTAACCACTAAACCACAAATCCACACAGTATAACGCCAGTATAATGCCAAGCAATGATATCAGTATTTGAAACATTTAAAAAAGAAACGTATTTGATAAAGCAGCTGCTGAAATTAAGGATCTTTTGCTGCGGTCACACTACAGAACCTCAAACCCGCCTTGGCTGAGTACGGGTGAGAAATTTGTAATCTGAATCAACCTTGGTTGACGCATGGCTGACTTGAAATTGCTCTCATCCCAGAAAGCTGCTACCTTCACATTTGCCCTGGGTTGACCTAGAATTTACCATTCCACTGTCTCACAAAAGCCTGTGAGCAAAATATGACCAATCACAGTCAGCATTTCTATGTATATGCGCAAGGATTTCAACAAGACTAGACTCGATTTGGTCAATCCAGGTAAGGGTGGACACTGATCATTTTGAAGCCCGGCATGAGATCTCAACAATACTGAATCAACCCAGGCTTGAGACTCTTATGTGACCGTAGCCTTTACAGAAAAATATCTATTTTGAAGAGAGGAACTTTGTTAATAATGTACATTATTGTATAGCTTGTTTTTGTATGTGAGTCGCTACGTGGTGGACCACGTTGGATCCTTTGACCTGGTGACAAGAGGAAGAATAAATTTAATAACCACAAGAATACATTATATATTTTGGATGCATACATATCTGCATTTGTTCAATTTTAATACTCCTATTTTTTGATGAAATAGGAAGTGTGAACCAAATATCTGTGATAATGAAAAGCATTAAACAGTATATCATGAACCATGTAGCAAAGTTTTCTTGTTCTTTGATGTTTCATTGTATTCAATTAAAAAAGTGGTTTCACCATAGAATATTAATCAATTTAAGCACAGGTGATAGCAGTTTGGGGAGGATTTGTGCTTGAGTGGACTTTACCAAGGATTGGGTAAATTGTGCTGATCCCTCCTTGTTTTTTTTTACATTTGTTTAGGTGCTGAGATAATAAATTCAATTCAATCGACCTTATAGGAGTCAACAACTATTTTTATTTATAATAGCCAGGATTATGCACTTATCCCACAAACACTTAAAATTACATTAAAATCCTGCACCTTAGCAACAGTATCTAAGGGAGAGGTCTTAATAGAAAGGTCAATCCAATGGTTTGGTAAGGTCAATCGAATGGTTTGGTAAGGTCAATCGAATGGTTTGGTAAGGTCAATCGAATGGTTTGGTAAGGTCAATCCAATGGTTTGGTAAGGTCAATCCAATGGTTTGGTAAGGTCATTCCAATGGTTTGGTAAGGTCAATCCAATGGTTTGGTAAGGTCAATCCAATGGTTTGGTAAGGTCAATCCAATGGTTTGGTAAGGTCAATCCAATGGTTTGGTGTGCTGAAGTGTAGCAAAAGAAGTTAAAAAGAAACTATTGACGCCAACATATACACTGACATTCACATAATATGTGGACAGTTACAGTTGAGGTAAACACCAATCATGCTATTGGAGAATTTATTGTGGTTTATGTTTTTCTTTTCTTGTTCAGGAACATCCATTCATATTTACTAATGTGAACAGTCGTGAACCACCGCCTACATTAAAAGCAGTCGAACCTACATCGGCATCACATGCGCATACAATTAATGTTTCTTTAACGTTAATGTTGCAGCTCCTGTTTGCTAAAATGTTTATACATACAGACATGATGTTATTCTTGGCCTCAAGACAAAACATCAATTTCCTATCCATCTCAGCGCTCTTGTATCATTATGTTACATATAAAACCATTACGCTTATACAAAGTAGAAATGTAGACATGTTTTTGCAGCACATAATATTTACTAAAATATATTATATATATATTATTGTGTGGATTATCTGATATATATAGGCCTATATATATATTATCATATACTGTATAGAAACATGACTTATATTTCGAAAATCCAATTATATAAATAGTGAAAATAATGAATACGGTATGTCTAATTAATTGTTATTTTTAATATGCATGAAAGATGTTTTCACGCATTATGCTTTCAGCAGAATACCGTAAAACATCGAAACAGTAGAAGCCCAATTTGAAGCGCCCCCCCCCCCCAAAAGAAGACCATGCAAAATTCGCAAAAAGAAAAAAAAAGGAGAAGAATAGAAGCCCTTAGCATCTATTCGAGGTTTCACGGTATGCTATATTTATTAAGTGGCACCATTTAGTATTACGTAGGGCCTACGTAGGAGTTTCTTAAAATTTTGTACAAATACGTAAATTTTACAAAATAAGCCAATGATATAAAACAATTATAAATAAAGTTGCGCATCTACTGTATTATCAATATTCGTGGCTAATAAGGGTGGGGCATTTGACTTCTTTTATAGATGGCGATAGTTACATTAGTACTGTTTTTAGAAATGAATGCGTTTTATTAACTTACTTGAGGGCTCAGATATTGCTAAATAAAATCACTTTCTACTTCATTAAATTGACCACACAAATGATTTGTTGTTATCTTACTCAACTTATTACTCTTTATTTAATATAATGTTGTTTTTAAATAAAAAGAACTACCGTACTCTATGTAAACTGATATCATCTAAAAAAATTACATAAACTTATATCTTGATTTGTTTCTCAATTTCGGTTCTCTAAACATGACACAAGTTGTCAGACCAGGCATTTGCGTTATGCATGTCGAATAGTACAATTTTGAAGTTATTTTGTTGTTCAGTGAGTTATATATATATATAGGCCAATAGCATAGCTCTCAACGAATGTAGTCCTGTAAATAAATGAATAAAGAAATTGTGTAATAAAATGCCTCTGGCGGGACTCGAACCTGCGACCTCTCGCTGTCAAGGCGAGTGTCATAACCACTAGACACTATATATAACTATATATAATATTGGCCTGTATATATTTGTTTTATGTTGTGATGATTTATCAATCCTTGCTTATGTTTTTTACTTTATTTTTGTAATCATTTTTGAGTATCTGACCAGCTATGACAAGACTTTTTTTAGATTGGGTTTCAGTCTTTAAACTTGTCTTAATCAGTGAAAATGCTTGGGAGAGATTTTGGCACCAATGGCGTTTCATGTTACTTATTTCTTTGGCGTTCCATAGTATACTTTTTCTTACATCCAAATTCAACCATGGAGGAAATATGATTCAACTAACAAGTTTTTTGACATAAACCGACGCTGGAAGCGCTCTCCGAAATTAGCAATACTAGAAAAAAAATCAATAAATTCAAGTTGAAGTGAAGTAAATAAATCAGATCAATAAAGTCAAGTTGAGAGATGGCCTATGCTACACGATGTTCACACTGCATTTACCTTTCTTTGACGATTTATATGTATTTGATTTGTCTTGTGTGAAGTTTGATGTTTTTCTAGCTTTAGGTAATTTTGTAAAAGGGAATTGTAATTTTGTTTAATTTAATTGTAATTTTAAATAGATCTATTGAATTTAGACCTCTCACTTATCCTGAATATGTTGTGTCCCTGTCTCTTATACACATCTAGATGTGTATAAGAGACAGTAATTGTGCATTTCATATGTTTGGCTGAGTGCTTGACACATTTCGATTTTCAAATACAGTATACAATAGATATGTATATTGATATCTATTGAAACATTACTTGCAACATGTACCACATGCACTAACATTAAAATCATTTACATTTTTCAATAAGCTCCTCCCTAAAATGCGAATTGTTATGAGAAACAACTTTTTGATTTTGATATTAGCAACTTTTGATGATGTGTTTAAACGTAAATATTAACTGGTACTGGTACGGGCATTTATAATGCGCCTCTTCCATGCGGTTGTAACGCGCAGTTCCTTTCCCTGGTTATTGGGTCCACATGCTAAGTGTTGCTGCTGGTAATCAGTGCAGAGCAGGCAATCCCACCAGGTACCCATTTATACTCCTGGGTGAAGAGAAGCAATGCAGATAAAGTGTCTTGCTCAAGGACACAAGCGAAATGCACAGCAAAGGAATTAAACCCCGACCTCGAGGTGTTGGGAAAGCAAACCGTTCCCGCTGCGCCAAACCGCTTCTAAATTATATCAAGGTTATGTATAATCAATGGAACGCCCATTATTTTTTTAAAATAAAATTCGAATTTCTGGTGGACTAGGTAGGCTCACTGAAGAAAGGAAATTATGAATCGATCAATGTCATATTGATGCTGTTCTAATTTATTACCATGGAATCATACGTGAACATTAATTGCAACATATTTTATGAGGATATAGTCAGTGTACCAATATGGATATAAAGCATAGCATTTTTCTGCTTAACATCTAAATAATGGTTGTAGGTAAAAATAGCCCCGGTAAAAACGGCCTAGGAAAAAATAGCTCTGAGAAAAATGGCCCCGGTAAAAATGGCCCCAAATGAAAAATAGGTAAAATGGCCCTAATGAAAAAAATCAGTAATAGAAATGATATTTTTTTTAAATCTTCAAATATGTAAATACTGTAATAAGCAAGAATTGAATCAATAAATAAAAAATGGCCCTCAATTATATAAAAAAAAAAAGTTAATTGCTGTTAAAAATACCCTGTAGCAAAAATTGAATATATAACTCAACATAAACCATATGCATATTTAAGAACTAAAATAACTTTTTTAAAGTTTTTATCTCCTAGGATATGAGTAGCTCTAGAAGTAGACTGCTGATTGATTAATTAATAGATCTTTTTTGTATGGGCGGCTGTTAGGTCTAAGTATTTTTTTAAAATTATTATTCTTAGATACTATTACTATATTAATGGTATTGCTAAATCCCACAAACCCACCAAAACACATTGTAGAAAACCAAACAAGTCAATTGTGATTGACTCACTTGATATAGGCCTATCAATAAGAAAATTAAATACTCATAAGAACCTATATTCTGGTTAAAATTTTGATTTTTTTTTTTTTAAATACACCACAAACCTCCAAACACACTGCGAATCTTATCCAAACCCTTTAAATATGATTGTAGAACTCTCTTTTTCTTAAAAAATATAAATAGGCCTAATAATTTGATGTTCATCAATTCATTGTTTGCGGGGTTTACTAATACTAATTTCTGGAAAATTGTGATTCCGCTTCCGTGAAATTGGCCATAAAGTATTTTAGTATTAATAAATGCATGATTTATGTTGATTTATTGATTATGCTTTTGCTATTTTTTAACATTTAAATGGAAAAAATAGAAAGTGTTATTCATTGTTTTTTTTATCTTTGAATATTTTATCATTTAATATATACCCTGCAAAAAGTCAAATGTAAATGTCAATTTATTTGATGTTAGATTCCTTTTAAAAACTAAAATATTTCAGTTAAAAAAAGTGCATATAATGATTTTTTTTAAAATCAGTTTTAATACAGAATTTTAATTGGGGCCATTTTTACCTACTTGTCATTTGGGGTCTTAGTTTTTGCTACATGTAACATCATTTCCTACGATCACTCCTACTACTACTTATAGAACTGAATTTATTTATAATGTCCTAGTCGACTTTATTATATTGTACACTGACTATATCTCATTAAATATTCTGGAATTAATGTTTTGGCCTGCATGAAAAGAGCAACAATACCAAATTGATCGATCCATAATTTTATTTCTAAAATGGGCCTACCGATTCCACCAGACATTCGAATTTTATTTTGTAACCTAATTAATCGGGTTATGTATTCGATAAAAACACATGCAATAACTTTAAAATGAACTACATTTTTTCAATAAGGTCCTGAATAAATAGCAAATTCTTATGCGAAACAATTTTCGAGGTGTTTAAACGTAAGGTTATGTTTACTCATTTAACCACCTATTTTCTAACGAAATTCAAATTACTAGTGGAGTAGAATAATAATAATTCTGGATTTATGTAGCGCCTCACGTTGATACAACCTCGAGGCGCTTAACAACAACAGTGAAGAGGAAAAAAGTTAATGATTGGTTTGATGATTATCAATAGATGTAGAAGGTCCTCTGTAGAAAGAAAACAATAGATCCATCAATAATAATGATCACCATGGAAGCAGGCGTAAACATTAATTGTAACATCTATATTTTATGATGTCAGAATATAATAATAAAATAAAAGCATACATTATTTTTGGTTTAAAGTCTTTTCTAAACAGCTCGTAGTTTAACCTAAGAATGGAATCTGCTTTAAGCCTACGTAAAAAGGCCATTTTGCCTAGAAATACTAAGCTTACGATGGCTTTAATATTAGCTTTGGCTACATGTAACTTTACTTGCTACGCAGTTGATTCTGATTCAGGCGAATATGCTAACAGTACATTGTCTGACGAATATTGGCCTGCTACTACTGAATATTCTCGTGGCCGTGCTGCTACTACCGAAGACAGTATATATAAGGTAATCTTTTTTTTTTCTTTCGTGGGGTCGTCCCACTTTCATCTCATCAAAAGAAAATTATCTGTACTCTTTTGTCTTAGTTTGCTTTACATCTTATGGTTAAAATATTTCTTATCCTCTCGTGCGTTCTTTAGGTTATGTTACGTTACATTTTCGTAATTTCTACTTAGCTTACTTAAATTTTTCTTTCGTTTTCATCTTTCGTTACCAAATTTTAAAAATTTTCTTTAATTTTAATCTTCATTTTTCACCTTTGCCTCCACAACCAACACTTAAAATACGCCATAAATGCAGTAGAAGTTAAATCTAACAAATATTAACATCAAAGATAATAAATTAATAATGCTTTCCGTACTCCTGTGTCTTAGTTTTACACAATAACTTACACTATTAGATTACCAAATTACACAAAAATAAACATAAAACAACTCTCACATAATTAAGACCTGACTTCTTAAAATGAGTTACTGTATTTTATCATATAGACCTGTGGCTCAACAAATACATTATCAATACATAATTTATAACACATATACAGTACCGGTATCACCTAGTACTGTACAGTATAATTTTTATGACAACAAGTTACTTATTTATTGTTTTAATCTATGGACTATGATATTATTATTTTGTATGATCCCCCTGCAAACAGTAATATAAATGGCAACTTATTTGTGACCCAAGACCACGAAAGGGCTGTAAACTCGCATCACCAGGTTTCGAGAAAAAGGGCTAAATAGTATAACAGTATAACATGTAATTTGAGCAAAATGTGATTATGTCATAAATATAAAGTATTACCTTTAATCTTACTATTTTTGAAGCTTGGGTTCAATATTTCAACTCTAAACCATAACATTTTGTAATTTTATGAAGAAACGTTTATAAATTTACCAAATTTCAAGCCGCCATACTTCTATTCGCTTTTAAACCACTTATTCACTACACAAAATTCAGGCCCCAAAGTAGATAAATGAAAACTATCAGATATAATAATACGTTTATTAGCACTCATATATGCTATGTATGTGATTTCAGAATAAACAAGCAGTATAGTTATAAAATAGTAGAATGGTCACAGAGCCAGGTTAGACCTATTAAAGAACATTTCGGTTCTTTGTAGTGCAGTAAATCTAAAACGTATTCATGAAGTCATTCAAAATCAAGTACAAAATAGTTGAACAAACTTTAAATTATGTTCCGAAAGTATTGTAGTGCATCGTTCTGTGGCACGAAGCTTATGTAAATGTATACCTAAATGAAGGAAATAGCCTTGAATTTATTCAAGTAATACTAAACTGTTTCATGACTTGTTGGAAAAGATTTGGAAAGCAATCCTCTCTCCGTCTGGCAGTAAAGCGGATCAGAAATGATGTAGATTGCGGTTGAGTACATGTTGAGAAACTAGTCGTGGTTATTGAAACTTACAAAAAAAATACTGACGCCAACAGAACAATCATCTGCACTATTTTCACCGACGTGAAATTATAACGTATTGATGAAGTATACTCACACAACGTCATTCAAATCGTGGTGTACAAAATAGTCACAACTTTAAAGAATCAAACAATAACGTAAGTGTTGACATTACAATTGCTTTGGAAAAATATTTAGGTAGAGAGTAATTAATTTGATCTACCATTATTTTAAAGATGGAACCGTTAGTTCGAAACAGATTGTTTACCACCTCCCGATGGTACAATGTAGCTTGCAACAATAGAATTCCTGATCATTTTACTTGCTTAATTCTGAAAATGTTGTATTTTTAAATTGTTTATAAATTTAAAAAAAAAAAGAATCCAGACCCCCATAACCCTACCCCGTCCCTTTTTCATTCACACCGCGACAAAACAACCTCTACAACAAGGCTTGACGAATAAAACACTTATGTCTACTAAATTCATCAAAACAACGGGGATGCCATAATAAGTACCTAGGATGATTCAGCTTTATAAAGGTATAACCAACTTCCCCGGGGTATCACTAATTAACCCCCTGGAGTATCGACATAAAAATAGAAGATCTCTGTTCCCCAACCTATTTCCAGCTAACCGTAGAAATTTCATCGCAATAGCTCAATGGGAACTGTGTTGTTGCTTAGGAGTTTCTTTGACTGCTGCTGTGATTTTTTCTTCAATTTCTTCAGTAGGCCTACTTTAAAAGCCATTTTGCTCAAAACTTTATAGGCCAGTTTATAGAGAATAATTATAATTCAAAATAGCTTAACTTTACACGTAATTGTCCGATTAAGGTCATTGAGCCCTCATTATAAGGTTATAGATGTGCTTTATTCATTTACATTAAAAACCTGTTTTGATAGAGTACGGAGTTACAATCCTTTTTTGGTCTTGGGTCACATTTATTATATAGACCTATGGCTCAACAAACAATACATTACCATTACATTTATAACACATATTTAACAAAATACAGTATCACCTAGTACTGTACAGTATAATTTTGATGACAAGAAGTTATTTATTTATTGTTTTAATCTATGCACTATGTTATTAATATTTTGTATGATCCCTACAAGCAGTAATATAAATGGCAACTTATTTGACATTACCGGTAGATTGTTTTAAAACAAAACTAGGTTATTTTAGTTTTCAAAAATGCATATGATTTATGCTGATTTTTTTTATTCATTTTTGCAATTTTACAGCATTTAAATAGTTTTTAAAATATCAATTTTATTACTGATTTTTATCATAATAGTTTAGTTTTTTTAAATGCGTATGACTTATGTTTTATTGACTAAATGATTTATTGACTAAATGTTTGCTATTTTATTGCATTTAAATAGTTTGAAAATAAAAAAAAATTAAACTACTTTATTACTGAATTATATTATTGGGGGTGGGGAATTTTTTGATACGTTGATTTAATTCTTGCTATTACTTAACGGATAAAAATAATTCTTGGATGTCCTTTTTGGTATAATATTAAGTCAAATATATATATATTTTTTTTATTTTTAAACAAGGCTGCTCCAGACACTGAAGAGACGTCCAACCACACCAGAAACACTTCTGTGGTAAGCCTTTTTATACTACCGTACCGTACTAGCTTTCCTACGATTAAAATACATTGCGAATTTGTAAAACTATTAAGCGTTTTGGGATACAATAATAAAATTTGGCATATTTATTTCATTTCGTCAAAGAAAACACAACAATCTCAACCTTGAAAACACAAATTTAAAAATTTAAAAACGAAAAAGAAATACCACACTAATTAGACGGGAATGCTGAAATGAAAATCTTGGTAAGCAAAAAAGACACGCAAAGAATTTCATTCGGCTTAAAGAATAATATACATAGGTGCTTGTTCTTCTTAGGGAAGTTACCGACTACGTTTATTCGGCTACTAGCTTCGGTAACCTTGACGAGATAATTATAAAATTAAAATAAACAATTTATACAATATTCAAAATCAATAGAGATACAAAATATAAAACGAATTAAACGTTTAAATATTAAAGACATACATAAATATATTTTACAGGATTAAGCTAAAATATTGTCCTAAGTAATACTTACAAAAGTTTACTGATAAAAATAAACTAAGAGTCATGAACTTCAACAGAAATGGAATCCTAAATATTTGAAACAACATTAAAAACAATAAAAAAAATTTGGGGTTTGACATAAGATATTATTACATAGCAACAATATTTGAAACCTTAAAGCTCCATTCCCGGCAAAATTTCACTAAAAACTAAACTAAAAAAAAATATGCATTTGCATTACTCCAATTATTATAAATCATGGAAAAATATTGGCATGAATTTTAATTTTACGCAAAAGAATTAAAAAAAATGAGAAATACAGACTATTTCTCATAAAATATTACCATTTTCTCGACGAATTCATCGTTACTAGGCAAATTCAGAGGTTGTAGATCGCATCCACTGGGATACTCTCGCTTTTATGTATACATTTATACAGTCAATAAAGTGCGCCCTCTCTAATGAGATTAGTTTTGTACTTCGCATCTCTCGCACAATGCGGTCGTTCGGTTAGGCTGAGATATGTTTGTTTAAGTGTCAAAATCTCAGTCAGAATCAGTTTTTTAACAAATTTTAAATAATTCCTATGAAATATTATATTTCACAAGTGTCAATACTAGCAACGGAAAATATCATGTCGGACGTTTTTATGTGTCATAACAGAACCCAAATCGAGGTAAGGCTAGGCCTAGCCTAGCAGCGTTGGATAGGGATAGTCCACCAGAAATACGGATTTAAAGCACCAAACTTGGACATAATTGCAACAAAACGTTTTTTTTTTATGAATATATATAGTTAAATTTTATATCTACAACATACAAAATGTTTACCAAAATATACCCACGGGAAAGGTGATTTTTATAGCAAAGAAAACTGAACT